AATACTTTAAAGGTGGTGCCTGTGGCTCAGTGGGTAGGACACCAGCCCCATATACTGAAGGTAGCCCTGGCCAAACTGCAACAAAAAAATAGCTGGGCATTGTGGTGGGCACCTGTAGTCCCAGCTACTCAGGAGCCTGAGGCAAGATAATCACTTAAGCCCAGATGTTGGAGGTTTCTGTGAGCTATGAAACTACATCACTCTACTGTGGGCGATAAAGTGATACTCTGTCTTTAAAAAAAAAAAAAAGAAAAAAAAAGTCATACTTTATGAAAATCAAATCTTCACCTGAAAATAGGAGAAAAATTGAAAGGAACCTTATATACATAGAGAAAAACCCCCAAATAGTTTATTAATTCACTTACCAAATAAATATTAATAACTGAAAGGAAAAACTCAATATGGGCTGGGAGCAATGATCCCAGTAATCACGCCTATAATCCCAATAATTTGGGAGGCCGAGGAAGGAGAACTGCTTGAGCCCACGAGTTTGAGATCAAGTCTGGGTAACAGTAAACCCCATTGCTACAAAAAATAAAAATAATTAGCCAGGTATGGTAGAGTATTCCTGTGTTCCCACCTACTCGAGATGCTGAGGTAGGAGGATCCCTGAGCCCAGGTGTTTGAGGCTGCAGTGAGCTAGGATCATGCCACCGCACTCTAGCCTGGGCAATAGAGCAAGATCCTGTCTTGTTGTTTTTGGGTTTTTTTTCCTAGAGACACCACCATGGGTCACAGCAACCTCAAACTCTTGGGCTCAAGTGATCCCCTTGCCTCAGCCTCCCGAGTATCTGGGACTATAGGAGCCCACCACAATACCCAGCCACTTTTAAAGACAAGGTCTTGCTCCGGTTCAGGCTATTCTCGAACTCATGAGTTCATGCAATCCACCAGCCTTGGCCTAAGACCCTGTCTTAAAAAACAAAAGAAAAAAAAAGAAAAAATCTTACAAAAATTTTTAAGAGAAAAGGCCTAAGGAAATAATCTTTAAATTTCAGTACACCAGAGTTAAGAGCATCTTTTAATCCTAAAATCTTTATTTATTTAGACTTAATATAATGCTATGTAATCCAAACTTTACGTTTATAGTAGACAGTTCAAATATATACATTGTTATGCCACAAAAAAATAATCAGGAAAAAACATTGATGACATTTTAAAATTGAAAAATTTTGGCTTGGCGCCTATAGCTCAGTGGCTAGGGCACCAGCCACATACACTGGAGCTGGCAGGTTCAAACCCAGCCTGGGCCTGCCAAACAACAATGACAACTAAACCAAAAAATAGCTGGGGATTGTGGCAGGCATATGTACTCTCAGCTACTTGGGAGGCTGAGGCAAGAGAATAGCTTAAGCACAAGAGTCTGAGGTTGTTGTGAGCTGTGATGCCATGGCACTCTACCAAGGGTGACAAGTGAGACTCTGTCTCCAAAAAAAAAAAAAAATTAAAAATTTTATTAGTAACACAATTAAATTTATTTCATTTTATTATTATTATTATGTTTTAGACAGGGTCTCACTCTGTCATCCAGGCTAGAGTGCAGTGGCATCATCAAAGCTCACTGCAATCTCAAACTCCTAGGCTCAAGCAACTTCTTCCCTCAGCTTCTGGAGTACCTGGGGCTACCAGTGCATACCACCCTGTCCAGCTAAATTTTTATGTTTTATAGAGACATGTTCTTCCTATCGCTCAGGCTACTCTTGAACTCCTGGGCTCAAGTGACCCACCCATCTCAGCCTTCCAAAGTGCTAGGATGACAGGTGTGAGCTACAGTGCCCAGCCCCAGTTATCTTTAATTTATGCTACATTTTCCTCCCTAATCATCTTCTGTGCCTTAGCGCCATAGTCAAAATCAACAATTCTATTCTGGGTCCTATATACATTTTCATCCTTGGGCCTACTCTAAGAGCTAAGATCCTAAAATACATGACAAGAGAGCTCTGAATCCAGGACAGAGACAATGACATAACCCAAACCGTGATGACTGTGAGAGGCAAATTCACAGTGGCTGGAGGGGTTGATGAATATCTCCTATGAAGTTAAACTTGCATTTCTTACAAGATACCTAATTTGAAATATAAAAATACTATGTAACAAGATTCTTTGTGAAAAGATAGTTCCACATATTAACTACAAATAGATACCAGCTAAAAATCATAAAAGTGAGTAAGATCGCTCCCACATACAACCTGGAAATACAAAAATAAGATTGAAATATGTAGGTAAGGGGCCAGGGGTGGTGGCTCACACCTGTAATCCTGACACCCTGCAATCCAAGGCAGGCGGATTGGCCTGAGCTCACAGGTTCAAGACCAGCCTGAGCTAGAGCAAGACCCCACCTCTAAAAATAGCCGGGAATTGTGGCGGGCACCTGTAGTCCCAGGTACTTGGGAGGCTGAGGCAGGAGAATTGCTTGAGCCCAAGAGTTTGAGGTTGCTGTGAGCTGTGACGCCATGGCAATCCCCTGGGCAACAGTGTGAGACTGTCTCAGTAAGAAGATAGAAACGGGCAGCGCCTGTGGCTCAGTGAGTAGGGCACCAGCCCCATATACTGAGGGTGGTGGGTTCAAACCGGGCCCCGGCCAAACTGAAACAAAAAAATACCTGGGCGTTGTGGTGGGCACCTATAGTCCCAGCTACTCGAGAGGCTGAGGCAAGAGAATCACCTAAGCCCAAGAGCTGGGGGTTGCTGTGAGCCGTGATGTCACAGTACTCTACTGAGGGTGACAAAGTGAAACTCTGTCTCTTAAAAAAAAAAAAAGATAGAAAGGCCACTAAGAATTAAATGAGATACATTTAATAAATATCAATTCTGCTTCTACCTTTGCTATCACTGTTTCTACTGCTGCAATTATTATAATCAAGAAATTCAGACAGCATAAATCTATTCATTAATGTAGCTTCATTTAACCTAGTAACATCTCCCACAAACTCCTTCCTATGGTTCAAACAAACTACCTGAAGTCCTCTCCTACTGTACCGGGCTCTCAGACCTCCCTCACCCATCTCATTGCTGTAATTTTAGGTGTTATGCTATTCCCTGCTTTCTCTGCCCCCACTCTTCCCCATCACCTAGGTCACTCTTTATCATTGTGTAAAACTTAGTTCAGAGCCAGGCGTGACGGTCCCTGCCTACAGTCCCAGCTACTCCGGAGGCTGAGGCAGGAAGATGGCTTGAGCCCAAGAGTCCAAGGGTGTAGGGTGGTAAGATGTGTCTGTGAATAGCCACTGCACTCCAGCCAGGGCAACGGAGCAGGACCCTGCCTTTCTAAAACAAACAAAACCCCCAAGCCACTCAGTTCAGATCTTTGCTCCTCTGGAATGTTTTCTCTAATGCTCTAAGAACGGAATTAATGCCATTTTTAGATATTCCCCTACACCCTGCCCTTAACCCTAAATTTTTTCCATATTCCATGCTATGAGTTATTATTCATTTATTTGTCTGTTTCCTTATATTTCTGTGAACAAGTTGAAGTGGGGTTGTCATTCCCTGCCTCATATAACACCTAGTCTAAAATTAGCATTCGATATGACTATTAAGGAAAGGGACCTGCCCACAGTCTGTATCTATAAAAACCCTGATCAACTTGAACCACATGACATAGCACAAATTCTTTTAAGTAGCACATGTTCTATAAAATATTTATTAAAACCAGTATCAACATTAATCATTTAGGCTAGACACGGTAGCTCACGCCTATAATCCCAGAACTCTGGGAGGCTGAGGCGGGTGGATTGCCTGAGCTCACGGGTTCAAGACCAGCCTGAACAAGAGCAAGACCCCATCTCTAAAAATAGTCGGGCATCTTGGTGGGCACTTCAGTCCCATCTACTCAGTTTTTCTATTTTTAGTAGCGACAGGCATCTCACTCTTGCTCAAGCTGGTCTTGAACTCATAACCTCAGGCAATCCACCTGCCTCGGCCTCCTAGAGTGCTAGATTTACAGGCATGAGCCACCACGCCCAGCCACTCTGACTTTTATTTAATGAACTTATAACTCAGTTTTAAGTACAGCTGTCAGAAACATACCCTCACTAATCCCCACAGTGAAGATTCCTCTTTGAATCTTGGTATAGCTACATGGAAGAAGTGAGGTCAACTCTGCTAGCTGGAAAGCAGAACATTCCAAAACTTTTAAACGTGTACAGTGAAGGGCTAATACAGAAGCAGAATACTATAGTGAATAAAACATGATCGCTGAAACCAGAAATTTGGGTTCAAATTGAGGTTACTGGCTGAGTGTCCTTGGGTAAATCTCTTAATCTCGTGACAATCTCACTATCCATAAAACAAAGACGATAACCACAAATATGTCACAGAATAAAGCAAAGACTCTAGACTCAGTAAATCCCTTAACCTTGCTGGTGACAGTTTTCCAACTGTTAAAGAGGATTTAAAGAGGATGATAAATTTACAGTCGTAATGGCTTAACTAAAGGAGGCATGTGAAATACTGTTTGAACCAAAGCTATGGGCAAATACAAGTTGTTTTTTGTAAGTATTGGTGACTGCAGTAAATGTAAAGATTATAGCTAGGAGTAGGGTATGCTGAGGGACACTCAGAGTGACAGAAGTCAGAATCCCAGCCTAGATCAAGCTGGTTACCAAAGTTCCAACCCCAACTTGTCCTGAAAGAAATACGTAGGTTCCAGTGACAGAGGCTCAGGCAAAGGGAACTTCTTTGGAGGGGAGGGGATGTATATTTGTTCAGAAAACACTGAACACCCACTGTGCGCTTGGCACCAGCAGAGACAGCTCCACTCCACTGTCTTCAGTAAATGCCACTCTACTGTGTCTGTTCTCATAAAGGAAAAGTCAACATTTCTTACCTAAGCTGTGCTGTAGAGCTAACCAAAAGTTCTATACTTACAGAAGAATGTTAACTATTCAACTCCAGTTGCATGGAATTTATAACACGCAGCAATTTAATGTATAAGAATACATATGTTTAATAAGAATGCAAGTTTCACAGCATTTTTTTTTTTAATGAAACATACTCACCTAAGGCAGGGTATCCAAGGTAAAATCGATCTGCTCCCAACCATCCAAGAAAAAGAGACAGTGCCACTGCCACTTTGTAGGAGTAGCCATTCCTGCATGAGATTTAAAGCTGGGCATCACATTCATGTATTTCCAACACGTGAACATTTTAGAAAACAAAATGATTAATTTGTACTTATTTGTTACCTGTACTTATTAATACTTTCTAGGTGCCTACTACATGCCAGGCACTATTGTAGGCTATTGGGATATATAAAAAAAACAATAAAAGTAGCAAAGATCCTTGTATCTGAGGAGCCTGCAATCTAGCTACAGCATGCAATAACATATTTAAAACGTAAATCACGGTGGGGTGCTGTGGTGTACACATGTAGCCCCACCTACTCAGAAGGCTGAGGCGGATCCGTCACCTGAGCTCAAGAGTTCAAGGGTGCAGTGAACTATGATGGCACCAATACACTCCAGCCTAGGCAATAGAGACCCTAACTCTTTATTAAAAAAAAACAGTAAATCATATACTATGTTAGAAAGTAATAAATGTTATTTTTTAAAAAAAGGAAGAGAGCAGGGATGTAAGGAGTCCAGAATGTCAGCAGCTATTAAATGGGGGACTCAGAGGAGGCCTCAGTGAGAAAGTGGCGTCTGAGCAAAGACCTGAGGGAAGTGAGTCAGCCACACGCACTCTGAGGGGAGAGGGTCCCAGACAAAGAAACAGCTGACGCACAACCAGCGGCACACCTGCAGGGTCTGAGACCTGATGGGCCGCCAGAGTAGCAGGAGTGCGAGAAAGGAGAGTGTGCTAGGAGACGTGGTCAGGGAGGTAACCAAGGATGGAGGGACCAGGCCATGGTCTTGGGTAGGCCACTGCGACACTGACGTTTACTGAGAAAAACAGGATCTACTGCAGGATTTTAAGCAAGGGTATGCATGGCATGACTTGCTTAGGTTCTAAACGCTCCCTCTGGCTGCTGTGCTGGAACAGACAGCAGGGAAGCATTTGTCAGCAATGGCCACAGTGCTGTTGTGTAACAAAACACCCCCAACTCAGTGGCTCATAACAACAACTATTGTTCTCATACTAACAGACTGCAGATTGGCTGTGGTTCAACTGACTTAAGCTGGTTCAGCTGGGAGATTCTGCTTCAAGCTAAGGTTGGCTGAGCTTGGACACAGGCTATGGATTCAGTTAAAGTCAGTTCCATTTAAGTCTTTCTAGGGCCCAAACTCGAGGTATAGCAGCTACTTGGGGAATGTGCTTTTCAGAACTTATCATTAAGGTGCAAAAGGAAAGCTAAACCCCACAAGCACACTAAAGTCTTTGCTTGTTTCAAATCTATCAACATTACATAGGCGAGGGCGGTGCCTGTGGCTCAGTGAGTAGGGTGCTGGCCCCATATACTGAGGGTGGCAGGTTCAAACCTGGCCCCAGCCAAACTGCAACAAAAAATAGCCAGGCGTTGTGGGGGGCACCTGTAGTCCCAGCTACTCAGGAGGCTGAGGCAAGAGAATTGCCTAAGCCCAAGAGCTGAAGGTTGCTGTGAGCTATGTGACGCCACAGCACCCTACTGAGGGCAACAGAGTAAGACTTTGTCTCTAAAAAAAAAAAATTACATATACCAAATTAAGTCACACAACCAAGCCTAAAATCAATGAAGTGAGACGGAGACTAACAGAGATGAATGTTTGCTAAAAAAAGTCAAACTGTAACAGGGACCAAAGAGTTTGAAGGCCAGACACAGGGGGTAACTGTCACCTGCTCCCCCCTCAGCACTTGGGAGATCAAGGTGGGTGGACTGCCTGAGCTCATAGGTTCAAGACCAGCCCGAGCAAGAGTGAGATGCCATCTCAAAAAAATAGCCAGGTGTTGTGGTGGATGCCTATAGTCCCAGCTATAGGAGGCTGAGGCAAGAGAATCGTTTAAGCCCAAGAGTTTGAGGTTGCTACGAGCTATGATGCCATGGGGCATTTTACCAAGGGCAACAAAGTGAGACTCTGTCGCAAAAATAAATAAGTAAAATAAAAATATAGTGCCAGAAAGTAATAAAAATGGGTAAAAATAAATGTTTTCAGTATTTGTGTAAGAATAAAATTTAAGTTTTATTATAGAAAAAGTAAAAATCAATCTTAACAAACCCTTCAGGCTTGGTGCCTGTGGCTCAGGCAGCTAAGGCACCAGCTACATACACCTGAGCTGGTGGGCTAGAATCCAGCCTGGGCCCACCAAACAATAATGACAGCTGCAACTAAAAAGAACGGAGTTGCCATTAACTGGGATAAGATTGCAGGGTTTAAGTTTGGGCGCTGGCCCCATATACCAGAGGTGGCAGGTTCAAACTAGTCCGCGGCCAAAAACTGCAAAAAAAAAAAAAACAACCTTCAAACAGGCCAGGTGTGGCAGCTCATGCCTATACCCCTAGCAATGTGGGAGGTTGAGGCAGGAGTTTGAGACCAGCCCAAGCAAGGGCAAATCTTCCATCTCTATAAAAGAGAAAAATTAGCCAGGTATGACAACATACCTGTAGTCTCAGCTATTCAACTACTCAGGGGACTAAGGCAGGAGGATGGCTTGATCCCAGGAGTCTGAGGCTGCCGTGAGCCATGATAATTTCACTGCCCCCTGGCCTGGGCAACAAATCAAGACTCTTATTTCAAAAAAATAAAACTCCTGCAAACACAGAACATTCCTAATAAATCTATTTGTCTTACTATCCCAAAGTGATAACTTTTAAATTCTGTTTATCATCCTTATCTATTACAAAGAATGAAACCAAGTTTCAAAACACCCTTAACATGCAAATAATAATCATTTTTCTTTTTTCTTTTTTTTTTTATACAGAGCCTCAAGCTGTCCCCCTGGGCAGAGTGCCGTGGCATTACAGCTCACAGCAACCTCCAACTCCTGGGCTCAAGCGAGTCTCTTGCCTCTGCCTCCCAAGTAGCTGGGACCACAGGCGCCCGCCACAACGCCTGGCTATTTTTTGGTTGCAGCCGTCATTGTTGTTTGGCGGGTCCAGGCTAAGGATTTGAACCCGCCACCTTAGGTGTACGTGGCTGGCGCCTTAGCTGGTTGAGCTATAGGCGCCGAGCCAATTATCATTTTTCTAACACAAGACGTACATAAGTCCTATTTGTACTCTAGAAACTCCCGAGATTTTGAAAACAGAAGTTTTCATAACTGACATGGTAGCACATGATGACTGCCGTGAACTGGCCATTTGTAGTCTTCATTATCCCACACAGTCAAGGACTTAGCTCTACTTCATCGGTGAATTGCATTTACTAAAAAAGGTGCACATTTAAAATACACGCTTTCTGATCCAAGCAAAAAGATAGACTGTCTCTTTAATTCAGGGAATCAAGATACAACTTAGGTGAGTAATACGAAAATTTAAGTTTTAATACTGTACTTACACATTTCGACAAGATACGGGCTTGAAAAAACCAACTTCGTTTCCAGTAAAGTGTGTCTCATTGCCACTGAAATCCTTACAAGTTATGTTGGGTGCTGGAAAACACTGAACTGAAGGCAGGAAAAAAAACAAACAAACAAGAAACCATTATTTTTCTTATGTAGCAAATGTCAATAATTGTTTTTTCTATGATTAGCAAAGCACAGAATACGTTATAACAAACCGCCTCCCAATGTAACATTTGACACAAGGCTTTAATTTAGGTAGGAAAACTATATTATAAATAAGTATATGTACGGCGGCGCCTGTGGCTCAGTGAGTAAGGTGCCAGCCCCATATACCGATGGTGGGTTCAAACCTAGCCCGGCCAAACTGCAACAGCAACAACAAAAAGTAAATAAGTAAGTCTTAAAATAAATAAATAAATAAGTATATGTATTTATATATAAGATAAACATAATGTGGCTCGGCGCCTGTAGCTCAAGGGGCTAGGGGGACAGCCACATACACCAGAGCTGGCAGGTTCAAATCCATCCCAGGCCTGCCAAACAACGACAACTACAATCAAAAATAGCCAGGTGTTGTGTTGAGTGCCTGTAGTCCCAGCTATTTGGG